CTTCAGTCAGTTACTATCTCACAACGAGCCTAGTTGAACTCCATTGATCACTGCTTCTCACTAAAACTCCAGGATATACCTTTTGAAGCCAGTCACTAGTGAGTATAGGTCCTGGGTTCGAATCTCACTAGGCGGGATCGTGGATATGCTCTGCTGAGGAGTCCTATAACATGACAAAACGGCTGTCCAGTACTTTCAGGTTTTCCATGGTGATCTAGCTTTAATTGACTCATAATCTCAACTATTGAAACCTAAATAATCATTAATATATAGGCAGCTAGAGGTTAAAATGTTTGCACGTATTATACATATTTCATTCTTGTTAATACCATAGTTTTGATCAAATAAAAAAAGTAAAAAAAACTAGGTCAAATGAAATCGGACATCGACACAATCAATTTTATTGTTATCACAATTTATTATAATAATATAACGTATTTGTCATTTGAATTCGTTCCTAATCAAGTAGGTCAGTGTTAGTAATTATCCTGGATGGAAGTGTTTTAATGAAATATATATATATATATATATATATATATATATATATATATATTAGTACGTAATGAGAACACAAAAACGTGACAACGTAGTTTCATCTTGTTCTTTTACATTCCTGATTAAGTTAAAGTAGGTATACGTATATAAACAATTTCATTCTGTTTAGTTCAGTTGTTTGAGATGGTGGAGATTTGTGGCTCAGGTCAGTCAGCTACAACATAGGATCAGGCACATGTATGCACCGGTCCAAGTTGCCCTACCACATTAACACAACAAGATGAACACCGGATTCATAAAAGTAGTTAATTCAGAGGTGGTAATATATAAAAGAAAGATTTTATGTAAAGATATAATACAGGAAGAAAGAATTAGTTCATAGAAAGAAAGATATGAAGCGATTTTAATCTCTTAGTTTAAGGGAAGAAAGAGAGTGTATACACCGACGCCATTGTGATCGATTCTGAGCCATATCACCAAATGTCTCCAACCATTGGTTACGATAGTCACGCGGACTCCAACGAAGTAGTCTGCATCTCCCAACATGGCTCAGACTAGATGGAGTTTTGTTATCTGAGCTGGATGGCTTGGTCTTAGAGTTTTCATCGTTCTTCTCAGTAGTCTAATAGTTAAGCACTTGCGCGCGAGACTGATATGTCCTGGGTTCGGATCTCGCGGGGGCGGGGTCGTAGATGCGCACTGCCGAGATGTTTCATACTAAGACGAAACGGCCGTCCAGTGCTTTAAGTTGTTTGAGAACAATTTTTTTCGTTTAAAACTTTCATTGTTTTTCTAACTCATTGAATTGTTATCATTTGTCTTTTGATTCACGTTTATGTCTCTTCAGTATTGAGTTTGATTTTTTTTTATTTTTTTTAATTATCTTATATGATCCTCTACTTATTGCTAGTCTATGGTGGGAACTATATATTGTTTTGTTAGATTTATGAACGAATCTGTAGTGTCAGTTGACATGTTAAACTCATATATCTTATTCTAGCTTTCGGGCAGGCTAATCTATTCATTCTACTTGAGTCACATTTTGACATTGTTAATTATTCGCTTATCAATCTTGACTGTTTCTATATGTGCGCGTAGGTATGTGTACACTTCTTATCCTATTCATCACATATGTGTAACTTATTTGTTTGTGACTATAAATATTGAGTTTCGAGACCGTTGCAGAATATTGAGTAACTCTTGGTTAAATGGGAGGTGGCTTACCCGCCATCTTCACTGTGCGTCGTTTTGATTCGTTCTATTCCATTCACTTCATATACAAAAATTTATGCATTACAAAGTCCATTCTCGTTATTTGACTTATATAATTTCGTTATTGACTAATGCGATTTAAGTCGATGATTATAAACGAGGATAGGCGACATATGTATATTTCAATAACAATCATTCATACGATCTTTTTGGAGTCAGAACTTACTTACTTACGCCTGTTACTCCTCGTGAAGGAGCATAGGCCGCTCACCAGCATTCTCCGTCCAACCCTATCCTGGGCAATCCTTTCCAGCTCCTTCCAGTTGTTATTCATCCTTTTCATATCTGTTTCTATTTCCCGACGTAATGTGTTCTTTTGGCCTTCCTCTTTTCCGCTTCCCTTCAGGATTCCAAGTTAGTGCTTGCCTTGTGATGCAGTTTGATGATTTGCGTAATGTATGTCTCATCCATTTCCATCGTCTTTTCCTAATTTCCTATTCCGCTGGAAGTTGGTTTGTTCTCTCCCAGAGAAGGCTGTTGCTGATGGTATCCGGTCAATGGATGTTGAGTATAATGCGTAGACAAGTATTTTTAAATAATTGTACTTTCTTAATGGCGGTTGTTGTAGTTCTCGAAGTTTGAGCTCCGTACAATCGAACTGCCTTTACGTTCGTATTGAAGTCAGAACTTGGGCCACTAAAAATCTATTAGACTTAACATGGTAAGTTTAGGATTTCGATGTGGAATTTATTCACTCATTTGGTTAAATACAGTTTTGGGATTATGGTTGATATCGGTTTGTGATAAAATTTTAAATCTAAATCCTAAACAAATTTGTAACCCTTATTTAAGTCTAGTAAGTAGGCGGGCATTCCAAAGTCATTTTAGCGTTACTCAAAGATTGTCTATAAATTATAATCTTATTGATTTATTTGTTGCTGTTCAAGGCTTCGACCTTAATTCACATTTTACATGGATTAATCTATGCATTTTCATGAAGTTTCTCAACATCTTACTAAAGTGATAGGATTCAAATTAGTTTTCCATATTAACTTTAATATCTTGGACCACAATGTAGTAATGTATCATTCTACAATTTCATAAGTTAAAACAATTGGGTGTTGAAAAATTTTGTACAAAAATCAATATGTTTGTGCAGTTCACATTACTTATTCGCTTACGCCTGTTGCTCCGGGAAAGAGTATAATTCGCCGACTAGCATTCTCCAATCCACTCTGTCCTGGGCATTCCTTGCTAGTTCAGTCCAACTTTTATTCATTTTTCTCATATCTGTCTCCATTTCTTGACGTAATATGTTCTTTGGTCTTCCTCTTTTCCTTTGACCTTGAGGATTCCAAATGAGGGCTTGCCTTGCGATGCAGTTGGGTGCTTTCCTAAATGTGTATCCTATCCACTTCCAGTGCTTCTTCTTGATTTCTTCCTCCACTGTGATCTGATTTGTTCTCTCCCACAGTAGGTTATTGCTGATAGTGTCTGGCCGACCGATCCGAATTATGCTGTGTAGACAACTGTTAATAAACACTTGTGTCTTCTGAATGATGGCTTTCATAGTTCTGGAAATTTCCGCCCCATACAATAGAACTGTCTTGACATTTGTATTGGAAATTCTGACCTTGGTGTTGGTTGATAAACAGTTGTTTTGAGTTCCAGATTTTCTTCAGTTGTAAATATACTGCTCTTACTTAGCCGATCCGCGCTTTCACATCTTGCATCAGATCGACCGTGTTCATCAATGATGCCGCCCAGATATATGAAGGTTTTTATATCTTCCAAATCTTATCCGTCAAGTGTAATTTGATTGTTGCATGTTGTGTTGTGTTGTGTCGGAAAATCTTGCTTTTCCCTTTGTGTATGTTGAGACCAAAGTTCACGTTGAAATTCCTGAATTGATTCTTCACTATAGTTTGGTTATCTCATGTATACAGTAACTGTGCATGAATATTATCATTTTTTAAAAAAAATCTGGTTTGATTCCAATATACTGTGTCATTAAGTGATCTATGGAAATATTTGTGTAGTTCTACTCTTAACATTAATTTTGAAAAGTTTCCCATATAATTTTATATCTAAGGCTTTATTATGACCTCTTCTATCTCACATTTTTATAAAAATATGTAATATACATTTAACTGTTATATTACATCTGTCTGTAGATAATAGAGATCTATATTTATTATTTTATGGACAGAAGATATGCTTTATATATCCCATATTTATTGTTAATTGTTATAAAGTCGATTCGTAAACTGTTCGATGGTTATGATGTCTGAAATAAGTTCACATCTTGAAGTGTACATATTTAACATTTGTTATTTGTTAAAAATTGAAATGTATGAATGTTTATAAGCAAAGATGGAGAGTGCTTGGCAGTGGAATCTAGTTTGACGCATATTTCGTCCTATTTTGGACTCGTCAGCTGATGACTGTACCTGCATCTTCGAGTTGTTGTTCCCTCTGGCGCTCTAACTCAGTACCGTTCGCTTCAAATGCTATCGGGTTACACACTTAGCTATTGAGTACTAATTCCACCGGATTCCTCTGCTAGCCATTATCCATCTTTGCTTATAATGCTTGTGAATTAAGGTAATATCGAGGCAATACGCATAGTATGCATATATGCCAATAAGAGACTGATCATTTGCAGTCCTAATCATCAATGGAAAAATTCAAGTAAACAATATCAAGTGGATTTGTACAAGCGTTTGTTGAAATTTAGAGAAACTGTCAGTGCTTTCAAGAAAATCACGAAGAAAACTATTTTCTAATGTACAATTTCTCAATTAGGCAAAACAGATGTCTTCAATGTAAAAAAAAGATAACAGTTACACCAGAACATTATTACACCAAGTGAAAAAGTGTGAAAGTTTTGCAAGAGCTTTACCTAACTAACGAATAATATCTTCAAATGATTAAAATCTTATTATGTAATTACATAGTAGGGTAAAAAATATCACGAATCCAACAAATAAAGCGTGTGTATATCACTACGCTGACTTGGAATTTGTGTCTTTTGTATGTAACTACTTATAATTTTAATTTAGTAGTATATTTTATATTGAAGCATTTAATTCGAACCTCAATATACATTGTGGATTAAATCCGAATTTTGTCATTCGTTATTATGTATATTATTTCAACATATCATTGAGATTATATACTTTTCATTTTAAAATGTCTTTTCATCTCTTTTTTTCTCTATCTCTCTTAACATACCAATATCTCAATGAAAAATCATCAATTTCATTTTGGCTATTATTATGTGTTTATGATAGAATGTGAGTTGATATTTGTGTTCTATTTCTTTTCCCTCGATTATTTATCAAATTTTTAGTGAATATTTCTTTATATTGTACGTTAAAGTGAGGTATATAATAATCTGGTTAATAAATTAACTTTGGTGTTTTTGATGGAGTTTTGTGCTCTGAGCTGGATGGTTACAATTGGCTGCACTGTCCATATTAATTCATGCGAATGGTTCACGTATTCTTACACACTCATGCATAACTTTTCATTCGTGATCACTGTTTAAAGATAAAATTCATCACGGATTATCATCGATTGTGGAAGGAACCATAGAGCTGTAAGACTTGGCCTTTAATAGTATAGGAAATTCATGGATCATTAGGATTTGATTATTGTTATCTTTGCAGCATTGTTCACATATGTTAGCACCATCTAATAATCAATGCTGAGAGTGTGGATGCATGGTACTATGCAAAAATGGTAATTGGGTTGATGAGTTAGTGGATTTTCATCAACTGAGGCGTGTCAGACATGCATTACGTATCTCTAACAACCGCCTACCTTAACCCAAAACTTTCTGTAACTTAGGAGTAGATGAAAAGAATGCCAGTTTGAAACAAACAAAAATATGGCATCAAACCCTGAAGTCATCGACTATTGGATTGAAAAGTTTTAGTAGATTATCGTAGCTGATTGTTATAGATGTTAAGTAGTAGTGCTTGTAATCGCTCATAAGTACATAGATTCATACAACCTTTCTGTACTACTAGGTCTTAGGCTTTAAAGTTGTTTCTATAAAACGCTACAATAGGCAGTAGGTAGGTATTTTATTTCGAAAGTTTCCAAAGTATTTATAGAAATACATAAACATAGCCTTCGATCAATGTGTTCTGCAATCTGAACTGTTTTCTCTACAGGTCTCCAAGTGTTCAATCAACGCCATCCTTTTGATGTTCTGAAACTTTTCCCTTTGTCCGACAATTGTTGCGACTTTGACGCCACTTTCCGGCTCATATTACTTACAAATATCCTTGTGAGTAGCATCCATTACATTTTTGCTACTTCTACATCCAGGCTTCATCAGTAGTTAATTGATGATGCCAGACCAGTTCAAAAGCGAAATTTTTCATTTTGTGTAGAAGAAACACATCTCAAACATGCTTACATTGTAGTTCAAGACTGTATTTTTTTCGAATTCAACCATTAACATCATTGAAAAAAAGAGTCCATTTAAAAATACCAAAACATTTGCGTCTCAACCTATATTACAGTGCAGAAACTTTGATCATTCACAAGTCAAAACCTGATTTGTTAATACAGAAACAACTTTTTTTTTAGATCACTGTGTTTACCATGATCTTAGTAGTTTTCTTTTGCTTATTTAATTGTTCGCTTTCTTTTTCATTATCATTTCAATGTTTATAAAACCGTTTTAATTTTATTATCAGACTAGGGTTGTGGAGATTATTATGTTATTGATTGAGATCATGAACCGGTTGATGTTAGACCATCATTGAAAACCTGGAAGCACTGGACGACCGTTTCGTCTTCCTGTTGGACTGCTCAACACTGCGCATCCACGAACTTGCTCGCGGGGTTCGAACCAGTGGAGCTAGTCCATATCAAGTAGAAATAAGTATCTACCCCAGACAATCGAAGATGGTCCCGTAATTTCGTGGATTGATTGAGGTTAGACATTAACACCATTGTATGTCGGTTCAGTAGTTTAGAGGTTAAGCATTCGCGTGCAAATCCGAAGACCCTGGGTTCGAATCCTGCGATCGGGATCACGGTCGCGCATTGTTGAGGAATCCTACAGTAGAATGAAACGGCCGTCCAGTGCTTCCAGGTTGTCAATGTTGGCCGAACATCAAGCGGTTCATGATTTCAATCTAGTTTATTCTTGTTGTTATTTACTCAAATTTCTTGATTACCATTCATTTCAACCTTCATTTCCAGTTGATGATACACATTGTTTCATTGATCTCCTTTTACACTTATCTTTTTTATTTAAAATGATTTGTAGCTTAAGTGGATGATTTAGGTGAGCTTTTATTCTCTAAGCTGTATGGTTTAAAGGTAGACAATGATAGATTAAATCTTACCAACAACTAATCCTCATCGAAGTCTACAAGAAGAAAAAACTGTGAGTGTTAGTTATATGTGAAGAAATTCAAACATTTCACTTCTATCTTAAATTTATATTGATGTTGTTGTTCAGAAGAATAATGAAAGATTCATGACTATAAACCATTCAGTTCAGAGAACAGAACTTTATCTATCCAATTATTTTTACCATACGGATTTATGGAGATTGTTAAGATTCCAGATAGTTTAGATTACAGATTCTACTTAACCTTATCATTAGTAAAAATTTCCCAACTCTATGACCTTCTTTCTTATATTTTATTTATCTAGAACTCTGTTGGGATTTGTCATTCCCACTTAGTGATACGTATATATATCACTTTCATTCAAATTCATTTGTATAAGTCTATTTAACTTCTAAGTTACGAGTTGTAGCTGTCGTCAATGTCATGAAATGCAATGTATTATCATATTACTCTTCTCAAATTTTTTCCTCCTCCTCTCTCTCTCTCGTGAAGAATAATGTCATTTTTAATACATAATCATGTAATTGATAAGTTCATTTGTACTATGCAATAATATAAATAACTGCTCATTTTCTCTCCCTAATAATAATCATAATCAGAAACGGGGTTTTGTGGAGATTTTAGCAATTCAATAGTTTAATTCATGAGTCAATTAAAACTAGACTACCTTGGAAAAAGTGAAAGCACTGGATGATCGTTTCGTTCTGTTGTTGGACTCCTCAGCAGTGCGCATCCATGATCCCGCCTCACGAGATTCGAACCCAGGATATATCAGTCTCGCGCGTGACCGCTTAACCTCTAGACGACTGAGCCCACCGGTATCTAACGCTGTTCATGTCTAACTTCAACCAATCGACGAAATTGCGCCACCATCCACCATTGTCTTTAGTGAGTTACTATTTCACAACAGACCTGGTTGAACTCCAGTGGTCACTGTTTCCCACAAGAACTTCAAGAAATACATCTTGGAGACCGTCACCAATGAGTCTGCTTAGTGGTTAATCGCTCACGCGCGATACTGACAGGTCCTGTGTTCGAATCTTCTTGAGGCGTTATCGTGGATGTGCACTACTGAGAAGTCTTATGCTAGGACGAAACAGCCATCTAGTGATTTCAGGTTTTCCATAATGGTTAGAAACTCATTACAGTTATTTTAATCACGTTCCTATAGATACTACTACTGATGATGTAGGTGGAATGAGATTTAAATATGTGAATGATATCCAAAGATTTTTATTATCATCCTAATCATTAAGTCACATTTAATAATCCTGTCATTTTTCATGCTAAATTTTCACTTCTGAAATGTTGTTGGGGAATATTTTTAATACTGAATTCATTGTATTCTCGTACATGTTTTTAATGGGTGATGTTACACATGAATTTTATTACTATTTATCGATTTGCCTGTATTTCTTTTTTTCAATAGGGACGTACACCCTTACATATTGCTGTTGTTCATTCACAACGTGTTGTTATTCGTGCATTAGTTGATGATTTCAGTAAGTAGAATTTTTCGTTTCTTTCTCAAATTCAACAAGGTAAATAAATTAATATTTACGGAAATACTTACAGAATGCATGTGATTTTTATTACCTACTTGCTTATGCCTGTTACCCCTAGTGGAGAATAACCCCCCAACCAGAAATCTCTAAACTCCTCTGTCCTTGGCTCTCCTGATCTGATCTTTATCGTCTTCATTGCCATCATTAGTAGATGACATTCATTGTGATCCTCTTCTTCTTTGTTCTGAAGGATACTTTGATAATTGTGGATCCATGATATTTCCATTATATAGATGCTTTACGTGCTTCTTTGGACAGCATCAGAGCAAATTCCTGTTTGTATGAAGCATTTACTTCTTCATGATCAGAGTACGACACCATTTTTTCTGAATCTAACCGTTTCTGTCCAGCTTTGGTCTAATGAGTTTCACTTATTTCGTGCACTGACTAATTGTATCTCCTCATTTTCGTACCTATTTGACTGGTTCCCCCAGTATCATACATTTTACGGAAATTTCGCTTACCTATTTTAATTATTACTCTGGTTGTTAGAAGGGGGGCTGGTCTCTTGATCTTCGGAAAATGTCGACTTTTAGCCTGAGGATTCATAACTCTTCTAAATGAAGACCTTTCAACTCCGACGAGAGAGTTTAAATGGTTTAAATGATTTTGTCTGGTTAGCGTTTCTTTTCGTCATAGTTCTTTTCTATGGGATGTGTTTTATGACTCCGCGCCCAACTCTCCTTCCTTATCCGTGCTTAGGAAGGGCATTAACACGAGAAGGGCTCTAGGTGGAGTTATATGCCTTTCACAGCCGTGATTAAGCTGACATAAGAAAGAATGATAAGTTTAAGGGAAAAACATGATGATATTATTTGAGAATGTACAAGTCATTATTCATTTCCATAGGACATTCACCATAGAGGTTTTTATGGTATAAAACAACATTTGGAAACCAGTATTTTCCTTGTAGTAGTAGGAGAAGGAGGAGGAGGAGAGCTAGGTCTTCATTTATGATGGTGAATTTTTATAACAAAAGCCAGTTTTAGTGCCGTCAGTAAAACACATCTACAATCTGGGAGAAGAAAAAACGGAAACACGGAACAATAAAAATGATTGTGATGATAGGCCTGTTGTCTTTAATGTGTTCGGTGGTTTTATAACTTATTGATTTAGACAGATTTTTCTTAAACTAATCAACTATTCGATATACATCTTTACGATAACATGGTAAATGCTACAATTCGTATCAAGTTTAAGATTATCCATGTGCATACGACCACTGCCAGGGAAGTCCTACTCACTGCCTTCTCGTGGCATTACTGTTGTTTACGGAATTGGGAGAACGAAAAGCGAATGTCCGGCGCTTTAAATGGGTTGGTGGACATGGAAAGTCCACCTAGGGGAGTTGGAAAACCCTGATTCCAAACCAATGGTGCACATGGGCTCCAGTATCCTGAAGGAACAAATGGCGTATGAACCAATCGTTGGTCACTGGCTAACATGGAACTGCATCTCCTTACGATGCTCCACTGCGTTGTGGATTAGACCTTCAGATCGAATGCTCCGGGTGTGGTCCCCTAATAAAACCACCTGCTTCAGTTTTGGCACCCGGACAGTATCACAGCCCTCACACATATCGAGTGAAATTTGTGTGACGCATACGTATTTGGTGCCTCCTTGTACCAATATCTATGTGTTAAAATAAATAATAAATAAATTTCAGATAAACTAACAGATTTATTGAGTAGTACCGAACTACTGTTAAGTGTTAATAACTCTTCATTAATAGTTTAAAGCCTATACGTTTTGTTTTTTTTTTCAACTTGATTAACAAAACAATTGTGCAATTTCAGTGAAATCCTTTGATGTTTCTTCAAACATCCTAATTTGTCGCAATATTTAACTTATCTAAATAGTTCATTATTAGGGTCAATATTCAATAGAATCTTATTTATTTATTTATTTGAACACATAAATATTGGTACAAAGGAGCACCGAATACACAAGCGCTACACAAGTCATTTGATTTGTGTGTGTGGGCTGTGATACTGCCCGGGTGCCTAGATCGTAGCAGTTAGTTTTCTTAAGGGGCCACACTCGGCTCCTTCGACCTAAAGATCTAATCCACAAGGCAGTGGAACAACGTAAGAAGATGCAGTCCCATGGTAGTCGATGAGGAACAATCGGTCCATACACCATTTGTTCCTTCAGGATCGTGGAATCCATGTTCACCATTGGTTTGAAATCAAGATTTTCTGATTCCTCTAGGTGGATCCTCGATATTCACTAATGGAATCTAGAGAGAAACTATTATATTTGATCAGATATGTTTAATAAATTTATGAGACTATTGCTCGCAAAGAAGTAGTTACTTCATTCTGAACAGGTAGTCCTCAATCTACATTTTTGTATTCCCCCTATATTGACTAACTTTTAACAAGAGAAGTTTGTTAGCAGAGTTAATATTAATTGGAAAACTACATCTAATTGTAATCCGTTGTTATCAATTAATGACAGATTTCAAATATTGTACTGTGTAAATGTATGCAATCGTTCTTTTCTTTTAGAAGCTGATCCAACTTTGATGGATTTCTCTGGTTACTTTCCATATATGTTACTTGAAAATAATTTAAAAACTGAATATGAACGTATGTCTATTTGTTACTTATGCGTAAATTTTAAGTATTAATAATAATTGCAATAATAGTTATTATTATTATTACTTTGAGTTACTTATTTACATAAGCCTGTTACCCTTCGTGGAGGAGTATAGGCCACTCACCAGCATTTTCCATTCAACTCTGTCCTGGGCAATCCTTTCCAATTTCTATTCATCGTTTTCATGTTTGCTTCCGATTCCCGATGAAGTATGTTCTTCGGCCTTCGTCTTTTCCCTTTCCTTTCAGGATTCCAAGTTATTGGTTGCCTCATGATGCAGTGTGGTGATTTCCGTATTGTATGTCCTATACATTTTCATAGTCTTTTTGCTAACTTCCTCCTTAGCTGGAAGTTGGTTTGTGTTCCCTTCTACAGTAAGGTGTTGCTGATGGTATCCGCTCAACGGACATAAAACATCTTATATAGACATTTGTTTATAAATAATTGTACCTTTTTGATGATGGTTATAATAGTTCTCGAAGTTTCAGCTCCGTACAGTAAAACTGTTTCGACGTTCTTATAGGTAATTCTGATGTTAGTTGACAGTTGTTTTGGGTTGCATATGTTCTTCAACTGTAGGAATACTGTCCTTACTTTGCCAATCTTTGCCTTCACGTCTATTACAAACCTATTTATCTAGTACAAAGTACTGTACTGTTGACAGTTAGTGAATAAGTAAATCAATTTGATTTCTTAAACCATTGTGAATTTTTAGAAGAATACAAACTGATAACTTTCTAATTGAATGTTGATTGTTTCAAACATTTAACATTACACATTTAAAATATTCTCTCAATCAGTCTAGATAAAAAAATTTAGATACTAGTTAAATACTGTCATTCTATACAATCTGGGGTGCGTACGTCTTGAGTGCTGTTAGAGGTATGAGGGCGGTTCTCACTTTCCGGTTGCCCGCACCATAGAAGAGTTTTTCTGGAGGTACTTAATAAGGATATTGGACTAGAGGTGGTCTTAGTGACCTGAGAGCGTGACCTCAGTGACCAAGGTATAACTGGTTGAGATCGGTCATACACGACCTTTTTGTGAGTAACTTTTGTGTTAGTTCCATACTTGTTGATACCTTACCGCTGCAGACGGATATCCGTGGGATAAGGTGAGGTGTGGATTTTTAAGGTTGACTTATTCTAACCTCACCCCTCCTTGTGGGAAGGCAGCATCGCTGTTATGGTGGTTGTCTGAAGGAGACACCTTACTGCTGTCACATCTCTGTACAGTCAGAAATGCGACTTCGCCCTCAGACCTTAGGTTTGCTGCTTTTAGACTTACCGCTCTTCAACCGACCTGTTTGAAATGGTAGGACCTTGAGGAACGGTTGTTGCAGCCAGTATAGCTCGATCGGTTCATCATGATAAACAAGGCCAGCCACCACGTCAAGGTATCAACACCGGTCGGGTCTAAACAATCTACTTGATTATACAATCCGATTTTTCTATTTGATCGGTAAAATTTCAAACGCTAAATTTTCATCATAATTAATTACACTAATAGTGAACATTAGTGGTGATGATGTTTATTGAGTACATTTAGTAGGCTAGTTATTTAACATCTGATTTAATTATTAAGGTGAAACAAATCAGATCATAGCATGATATCGCTCCTTGTATTTCTTCATTTAATGGTCTTAGCACTTGTAATTACCATCGTTGTTGAATAGTTTAATTGATTTGGCTTGCAATTAATCGTATTTCTAAACATACAATGTTGTCATTGTTACAATGGATCGACTATTGAAGAAGTTAGAAGTTTTGGAACTATTTTTCAAGTCATTATTTGTTTGTAAATATATGGTTGTGGAGATTGTTGAGTTTCATTGAAATCACAAACTGATCAATGTTGAACCATCAATGGGAACCTGGAATCACTGGTGGGCCATTTCGTCTCAGTATGGGACTCTCCCGCAGGGAATAGATTGGTCTGTTGAGGGGCTAGAATAACCTATGCGGACTTTACATAGTATCAGTCCCTATAACACAAATAAATATATCAACATAGGTAGTAGATTAACACTTGTGAAAATAAGATAAAAAATCGTCGAACATTATGTAATAAGAAGTGAATGATTAATACGTTGAAATATGTAAGTTATAAGGAAGAGATAAGAAATAAATGAAAAAAAGTCGAAATACGTGAAGAATAAATTATTTAGTCTGTTAAGTCGTATCAGATTAAGGCAAAGACATAGGTGTTGCTAAGTGCTTTCGAATGCTGTTAAAAAAGTGAACATGATAAGGTTGGTCACTCGAATCAGTTAAGCAAGGGTGACTAAATATGAGTTATCTTGACTCGTTCCAGATCACACAGAAAGGTGCCCACTCACTCATTTAACCGATTAAAATTGGGCATTTGTCGGCACTAATGCTTCTATCAATGGTATGCATGTTCCTATTCACTAATCATAGAAACATTTTGATATCTGTTAAAGAATTTCCCAACTCATATTATGTAGTAATTTTTAGGTAAATTTGCTATGAACCTTGTAGTGAAGTTTAGGATACGCGTTTCATCCTATTTAGGACTCGTTAGTCTGTGATGTACTAACATTCTAGTCTCTTGGACTTGAACCCAGTACCTACCTTTAGCTTCAAATATCCCAAGATTTTATTCACTGAGCTAATCAATCTAGTTAGCTTATTATAACCAGTCAAGTAGATATGGATGTAAACATTGATAAATTACATAATTACACTAATAATTCATTGTCCATTTCTTTTCTGGGTCATACATTTCATCACAACAATAAGTGACATTTATTCTGTCACTTAATCAAATTCAATAAAGATATGTTGGTCCTTTATTAATTAACTTTATTATTATTATTATTATTATTATTATTATTATTATTATTATTATTATTATTATTATTATTATTATCAGTAGTAGTAGTATCAGTAGTATCAATAATATTAGTAGTATTCTTAATTTTAATTAAATTATCATTTCCTCCCCCCACCCCCACATTCATTTCTATCTAATTCATTCATTCATTTCTTATTATCTATTGTTCAACTGAGTTCTTCCATCAGCTCATTCATGACACGCACACACACACATGCACATGCACATTCATACTGATACATGTCAGTATCCGTGTCCATACATATAATTAAAATGGGATAATTTTCTTTTAATTAATTCTCCGTTAGATACGTTTTCTCTTAAAATATCTGTGAATTATTGAGTTGGAAGAAACAATATTATTATTATTGAAACCAGGTTATGTGAATTACTGTGATGTAGACTCAGAGCTGATGGCTTTATATGCATAGGTATGTATGTATGTATGTATAAATATACATACCCTGGTCATGTCAATCTGTGTATCTATGGATAGATTGTCGATATGATTATTTCATTCCATATAATCAATCCTTCTGAATGTTGTTGTTGTTGTTGTCGTCATCGTCATTTTATTGACGTGATTTTTAATTTATCCACTTATATTCGTCAGATAACGTGTTGGTGTGTGTGTGTGTGTGTGCATGTAATTTGTTGTTCCACTGAAATTTGTTTACATTTTGTTTAACTAGGAAATTTGATGAGAAATTTTGTTTGTTTCTTTATACTCAGCAACGTGTACATTCAATGATCCCATTTACTTGAATCTATGATTATTTCTCTGAAAAAAGCAGATCAATACTACTTACTTATTAATCTAGTAACCTGCATCTATAACAACATTGCTCAAATCAATAATCAATAACTTAATAGACCGATGTTATATTTTTTGATTTGTTCCTCTTTAATTTTCTTTCAATCTATTCCTACATCAGAGAATATTGTATGTCGACTAAGATATTGTGTTATGTATAGGTAGGTAGAAAAACTATCCCAACGACATCATTCAGGTGAAGATCCCAAAAATGCAACAGTCGATTTGTTCATTTACCCAGTATTCTCCGTCCAACCTCAGTACTACTTACTCATTCATTCCAACATATATGAACAGAACTATCAATGCCACTATGATCGAATAACAATCACCTACATATATTCTCTGTTTACTAAAAGCCTCGTTTCACAACCATAAACGGAAGAATTATGAATTACTATGCATCATACTTGTTCTTTGGTTGCTTAACGAATGTCATCGATACTTTTCCAGAGTTATCTTCCTAGTTTCCATAGATCACTGATTATTCCACATTTTGTTCAATATAATCAATACAAGTAGCATAGATCAGTGGTGGCATCTCAAACCTTGATTACAATCTTGTCAATTAAACCAAAATCGACAGTTACTTATTGTTCATAAGCTAAGCTCAATACTGCACCACAAATACGATCGATCATATCAGAGTTAAATATGCACATAAATACTATCAGGGTTAAGTGAGTAGAACATTGAAATTCCAACTAATTCTCCTCAATTTCAAGGTCAATCACACCTACTTCAATTAGAATAATCGATCGGTATCATTAACCAAATGCCAAGTACTCGAATATGTATAATCGGTTACTGAGTCGTCGTCGTAGTAGTAGTAGTTGTATTATATCAGAATAAATCAATCATTCTCAATTGTTCTCTATTCACCAATGCATAATGTGAATAGTTTTGATGGATTAGTGAGAAATGTCCTATTATAATACATCGTTTCTAAGCAATCGGTTTTAAACTGTTTCGTTATAATGTTAAGACCTTCATCTATATGTGTCCGTCATTGCAGTCATCGTTATCACTATTTCTTTATTGATTATGAGAATGCAATTTATTGGGAAGTGAACAGAGCTTACAATCGTACAGTCATACGCAGATATGCTGAATATACACACAGCATTACTGATACAATTTCTCGAGTAGAATAACAAATCGTCTTATGTTTGAAGTTTGTTATGACTGATTAGATAAACGGATGTTTATGGATGTGTGTGTACGTGTGTTGTGATGATTGCATCAATGCTCAAAGACAATGTAATAAATGGAAACTTTTGTTATATAGGTAGATTGACATGCATTGTACACACGACAGTTGTGATATTGTTTTGTTGTATTACTCTACTCACTTGTTCTGCCTTTCTTATCACTTCCTCTATTCGTGCTGTATCGATCGTTTTGAGTAAATGTTCTCTAGTTATTTTTACACTCCACATGCTTACAAATGTTTTCCAAAGACGAAATAGTGTATTGAGAGATGATGAGTGGAAACATGAGATAACAAACACTCCTTTCTTCTTTTCTGTCACATTTGTTAATAATAATTACCTCACTCCTCACTGTTCTGCAATCGATTTGCATCATTGTTTATCCTTACTAACTTTGTTAAAGCTGATTGTTGCTAGGTAGACTTTTTGAATAATTGATGAGTATAGTGAATGTTAACATTCAATGTAACAATGTTAATTTTTACCTAATTAATCAACAAATTCCTACTCATCTAGTTATTTCTTTTTAAAGTACTCTTGAATTTCAAAGCTTCTGATAACCAAATAATTACGCAAGTTAGAATAATAAAACAGAAATTTTTTTGTTCTGTTTAAAGATTCGTTGACTGGATTTGTCGCTTATCTTAACGGTTCTACATTACAGTTCTGTTTTGTTGCTGTAATCTTCTTTTAGTTGTACTGATTATGTAAGATTTTAGTGATTCTATGCAACTATGCCAATCTCAGTAGTTGAGGAAACTGTTCGAAATTGATACTTTTGACAATTGGAACATTTAGTACTCTAACTAATACGTCACATTGCCCAGTATATTTGTTTCTACAGGTTAACCGATACTCATATTTTTATAGTTGGTGTACAGTTATCGTATCACATACTAAAGTCACTAATCAGAATTTTGATTATTATTTTCTGTATTCTGTAACCTAATATCCTAGACCTGACGAATTATACGTCTATGTTTCCCAGTTAGCCTGAAACTAATACAACCTAATCTTCTATTGGTCTACTATCCACGTGTTTCCCTCTTTCCTCTACTTCAATTCCAATGAAAAGTAATTAGCCCATCTCTTTTAATCTGAATTCAATCATAACTCAAAGCTAATACAATGATATAGCGTAAAATCTTGACCATACATCAACATAATCCTGAAATTACAGTAATAACATAACCACATCACATGTAGAGAAGAACAACATTTGAGCGACACTAAACTGACATTGAGAATGTTCACCTGATAACTAGGACCAAATGAAGGTTATAAACAAGTGTTAGGAATTGGAATTATAATTTACAGTTGATGGTTAAGGTTAAGAATTAGATTTAAGATTTTCATCACGAATTGACATCAACTATAATGTCGAAATAATATGTAGCCAATTAGATGAATGAATTTCATGCCAAAATCCAAATCCTATTATCTTATACCTGATTGATTTCGTCCATAAATTAAACATCTCGTCAACTGCGTAGTAGGTTCGTATTATGTTAACAGTAACTTAAAAAAATATAAACGAAACAATAAAAAAAATTTATTCATTAACAAAAAGCTTACAAATAGGAGAATACAATAATATAACTATTTAGCAATCAAAGAATAAGATTGTGAATACTAAACTTCAGGTGGGATAGTTCCAAAAGTTCAACTTTAACAATACTCATCCTTGTATAATACATCATGATTTCTTTTCTTAATGTTTCTTTTTCTAGCTTTTTTAACACATGGTCGACTTCAACGAATTCGAACTGCATGTGAGTGTTTTTTAAATCAATTTTCTTTTGTTAAATATATTTCTCTTGTCATTGTATTAATAGTTTTATGATGATTGATTTGTGTTACCTATTCAGTCAGTCAGTAACAACGTAGGATTTCGTACGTACGTACATCAGTTCGAGTTGCCATACAACAGCACAGAGATGGAGTTGTCGATTCAAATCTCGTAGTGATAGAGGCGGTAAGAGTATAAGCAGTAATCGGAAAGATTAGGGTTTGAAGATGTTATTTAAGGAATATAATACAGTGAAATAAATCTTGGAAGAGAAAAAAGAGACAAGGAAGAATTAAGATATTAGAATTTTGGAGAACACAAAGAATGGATGCACCTGCGCACACCATTGCAAACGATTTTGAGCCATGTCGTTCAAGGTCTTTAACCATCGGTTGCTATAATCTCGCGGTCCCCAACCAAGTAGTCTACACCTACCGACATGGCTCAGTCAACTTGTCAGTGACTTCATGGATTTGTGCGATGTTTTGTTCTGGCTGCCTCTAGCTTTCTTTCAACCTACTCCTATACGATTGAGCATCGCGCGCCGAGGCAGTCGGTGGTTGGGTATACGTAACACCTGTCCCAGTCATCTCAACTGATAAAGTTTCACCACTTTATCAATTGATTTGCCATCCTTACTTAGCATCTGTATCCTAACAACTGTGTTACTTACTCGATGGTCTCAGGATATACGAGTAATGTTTCGAAGACACCTACGATTGAATGCTAGTAACCTACGAATATCCTCTACTCTTACTGGCCATGTTTCACTGCCGTAAATTAGGACCGAGCGAACTGCTGCTCAGTAAACACGTCCTTTGGTTGATAGATGGATATCACACCTACGCCATAAGTGACTCACATTGCCAAAAGCTAGTCGAGCCTTCTGTATCCGTGCTGAGATTTCGTCACACACCACACCACACGTGTTACCTATTCACTATCTATATAATGTCGAAATATTACTAGCAGGTAGAATATTTCGAGTAGTATGTATGAATTATTAGTCTGGATCATACAGTTTTGTTTTATTTAGTTTAGTTATGAGTAGTTCATGATTCGATCTTAATCATTTGGTTAGAATCGACTGGAAACTCGTTTCTTCACAAATTGGTTTCATTTTGTTATGGATTCAACTTCTCTATGTCTATACTAATTTGTATTTGTCTATACAGTCTGCTTATTACTTATTCGCTATATGGGTGATCAGATCAATGACCTTCTCTATAACCTTTAACACAAGTTATCGTAAACAATTGCCGGAAATCGTAGCTCCTATCGGTTAATACAGCTGTTCCTATAACCAATATTCGATCAGAACACGAAAAGAAACAGACTGATTTACTTTCTGTTATTGTATTGTCATTCTGACTTGAAAACTCAAAGATTTATATACGTTAATTGCAAAACTAGCATGAAACATAAATAGGAAATCACAATTTGTATGTAACTAGGTCATATGTGATATTTACACAAATAATCGACGGGTCAATCTAAGTAGAAAAACCCACTGAAGACTTGGAAGCATGTGACGGCCGTTTCGCCCTAGTTTGCGGCTTCTAAGTGGTGCTCACCCTTGACCCCACACACGGAAATCGGACCTATGGCCTTCGGTTTCATTTACAAGCACCACAACTGAGCTGAGATGCACTGGCGTACACGTTTAATCTCAATCACTCCATCTTGCATTGTCGTGGACGTGAAATGCTAAGGTGCCCAACATTAGGACGAAATGGCCGCCCAGTGCTTCCAGGTTGTCAGTAATTGTCAAACTTGGGTCGACTCGTGATTTTTATTAAAAACATATATCAACATTTAATCAATGAAATGTAGGCTTACAACATAGAAATGCACTAAACCAAATATGTAACTATTAGACAATTGAAATATATACAATAATCTAAAAGTTGTATCTCTCAATTATTCACTTCGACAGAGCACGTTTTAGTTAATAATTGTCAATAAGACGTATATAAAATCTTGAATGGACTGATGGTCTCCCTAATCCATGTGAACTCACATCACACAATGTCACTCTGTCATAGTTATTACCATTGAGAAGTATGTATTCCAGGTGCAACGGATCTTCTGTGAAACTAAGATTTGCACACTGAATGATTGTGGATTATTAATTATTGTGGTCTCACTTTCTTCATTTTCGCTTCTTTCTCACGCTTTCTCTCTCTATGCCTCGTTTTTGGTGGCCCATTAAACTGACTTTCATTCAATGAACGTATAATGAATATGATATGAACATAAATCTTGCATCTTATTCCGTATACTACATAGGCTAATCCTGTTTATGTGATGGCGGTAATAAGAAGCCAAATACGGGTTGTATTGAATGAATTTGTTCCAAGTCTTTGTTCATCCAGACAGACATTAAGGATGAAAAATCGGGAAAACCAAACAAAGCAGTGAAAGCAAACAAACCAACTCGTTTTGATAAAACGTAACTCAATATTTATAGTCAGATCAAAGTAATCTAAAGACACATGATGAATTACTTACGTCTATTACTCCCAATGGAACATAGGCCGCCGACCATCATTCTCCAATCCACTCTGTCCTGGGCATTCCTTACCAGTTCTGTCCAACTTTTATTCATTTTTCTCATGTCTGTCTCCATTTCTCGGTGTAATGCGTTCTTTGGTCTTCCTCTTTTCCTTTAACCTTGAGGATTCTATATAAGGGCTTGCATTGTGACACAGTTAGGTGTTTTCCTCAATGTGTATCCTATCCACTTCGAGCACTTCTTCCTCCACTGTGATCTGATTTGTTCTCTCCCACAATAGGTTGTTTCTGATAGTATCTGGTCAACGGATCTGAAGTATTTTACGTAGACAGTTGTTAATAAACACTTGTGTCTTCTGAATGATGGCTTTCGTAGTTCTCCAGGTTTCCGCCCCATACAGTAGAACTTTTTTGACACCAGTACTATATAAGCTATATATGTATATATATTCACACTCAAGCAAGACACAATCAGGCTTAATAAAATGGATAATTGACAGTGTTAAAAAGGTACTCAATATGTTTAAATAAATTGATCTGTCCGGAATCTGGAATAACCCATTTAGATTTGATATAATACTACTACTAGACATTACATTTACATAAAAAACACATTTTGTACTAATCTTCATTGTTCATCTTATGATTTATGAATAATAATTGTAATATTATAAAAATATGAAACAAAAATGCAGTTGTGAAAGTACTACAATCTCTAATGAAGGTTTTGTTACCTCAACTTCCTTGTGTTTCTTTTACATTTATCAGTGTGTTTTTTCTCCTTTTTTTTCATTGTTTTAATGCATTGTGTGTGTGTGCATGTATGTATCCATGTATCTCGCCCCCCCCCGCTTTTTTTTTTACTAAACATCTTATCTCTTGTATTAGAGTCAAATCGAAAGGAAGTGATTTCAATGTTACGTTTCTTTTTTTTTTCGTATAAAGAAGCGACAACATGATGTGTTTGTGTGTGTGTGTTTGTTTCTAAGACTGAAATCGAAGGTGTTGTTTAAAAACAAAACAAAAAAAAATAGAAGTTGAAGGGTTTTTAAGAAGAACAGTAATGACAAACATAACTGGTAATGAGTACCGAAGGAATAATTGAAGGGGAACAAACAGGATATGGTTGTATTTTTTTTATTTTTTAAAAGGAAAAATTATTCTATTATTGTCCCACTTGTCTGACTATAAACCTGTCATCTACTCAATGTATTACACTTAACATATCTCATATATAATTTTCCCAAATATCAGAGTATAGGCAGTTTGAAGTAAATCGAGAAGAAATGCTTGACTTGCCTTTCGTGCTAGTTGATATATATATTTTTTTAAAAAGACATACTTATGATCATAACGAAATTGATGCTTCCTTTTCGGTTCGAACACACATCATCCAACTTCATAGATCAATAAGTTACTCATGAATTAATCAATTCTCGATTGATCTACTGTAGAATTTAGATATTTATATTGATCGATTACTAAATGATTAACAATATTGTGTTTGAGATGGTGGAGAAGATTTGTTGCTCAGGTGGATGATTTTAAAATTCGAACACTTCATTTCTACTTGAATTTTGTGATGATGATGTCTTTCAGAAGAATAATGAAAGCTCCATAACCAAATCATCCAGCTCAGAGAACAAAACTCCAAAATCTTGTGTTTGTTTAGTCTTTAGTGTTATATGACTACTAATGTAAAGTATAGGAGTAGGTTGAAAGAAAGCTATGGATATCAGTTCATGAATTGATAGGCTATTTGTTTGACCTATTTAGAGAGATCCAAACTACCTGGTTGGAGTTCATGAGGGTATCGTGACCAATGGTTGAAAGATTTTGCATGATATGGCTCTTAAGTAAATAAGTACCTCCAACTATCACCTTAAATCTCAACACAGTTACATACGATGTCGAATCACCTAGATTAGTAGCTACATTGCAACTTGATCGATAGAATTCGAATTGCACTAAAAAGGACCTGGCTTACATAACATTGGTCACTAGCCAGTGAACATCAACTCTGGGGTATAAGTGCATCCAAATAACGAGTCACAAAATAAAGCGAAACACATATCCTGGATTTCACTCCTACCCGCCATCCATCTCTGCTTAAAAATTATACGTATTTTCAGATGAATAATGAATGACACTCGTCAACAAGGTGTACGTGTAATCTTGAGCGAACTGGTGCTCTCTGACAGAATCGATACCGTGTCAGAGATGTCACCCCCGAGCAGTCGGGACTGCAATCGACTTCCTGTGGGATAGAGATTTATTTTTATAATTTTATCTGCTTGTTATCAGAAGGGGTTTTGTGGGAATTTTTTAGAAATTTCAATAGTTGAAACCATGAGTCAATTGAAGCTAGACCACTATGGATTGTGTTTATGTAGTGGGGAAACCTGAATCAATACACATTTGTGCTAGATTCAATGTTGCTTATAACTGACTGATTGATGATAACAATAGATTACGATTAAAAACAACTGAAATTAATTTCAATCAATATTTTGTGCAAACTAACTACTTACGCCTGTTACTCCTCGTGAAGGAGCATAGGCCGCTCAGCGGTATTCTCCATCCAACTCTGTCCTGGGCGATTCTTTCCAGCTCTTTCCAGTTGTTACTCATCTTTTTCATATCTGATTCTATTTCCCGACCTAATGTATTCTTTGGCTTTCCTCTTTTCCAATTCCCTCCAGGATTCTACGTTAGGGCTTGCCTCGTGATGTAGTTTGATGATTTGCGTAATGTATGTCTTATCCATTTCCATCGTCTTTTCTTAATTTTTTCGTCATCTGGAAGTTGGTTTGTTCTCTCCCACAAAAGGCTGTTACTGATGGTATCCGGCCTATGGATGTTGAGTATCTTGCGTAGACAACTATTTATAAATACTTGTACATGTTTGATGATGGTTGTATTAGTTCTCGAAGTTTGAGCTCCATACAGTAGAAATGTCTAGATATTCTTATTGAAGATTTTGACTTTGATATTGGTTGACAGTTGTTATGAGTTCCATATGTTCTTCAACATACAACATACAATGACACACTATCTGCTTATTTCAATATTTCCATTCATCGTTTAGAAAGATTATGCAATATATTTAGTGATAACATAATGGTTAGATTTTAATATAGGCAGATAAATCGAAGTGAAATGATGATAGTTATTCTATGGTGAGATTACTATGTAATTGTACCAATTGCTGAGTTTTGTCTCACAAATGACCTAATTCTGTACCGATTGTAATTCTTTATCGAACATTTTGATCTTGTAATTGATGTGTATTATCGTATACATCTTTGAGTAATCTGTACTGTTGAGGTTGGGAAAGAGAGAAAATTTACGGGTGTTAATTAGACTTTGTTTCTTTAATGAAAACATCAAGTTAAACAAATTATGTAAAGTCAACTTATCATGAGTGAAGGAAGCAATTTAGTGATCTTAGTAAGGTTGATTATAAACAAATAGCTAAAACGATTGATTTTAAGCAATCGAAGGAATTACAATCTACTGGAGATATATTGATGGCACACTGCTTGTATGCAACAATCATAAACATTCTATGTACCTAGTGAATCTGTTTAACAAAGTACACAAGGATATAGATTGTATTGTAGAACATAAAGTTGAATGCAAACTCCATATTTTAGATATTGAAATCAAACGAACTTCAGATGACATATTGTAGTGTGGCATCGAGTCGCGGTTGACTATGATCACCACTACTGAAAGACTACGTGCCAGTTAACCGATAAGATCTTCCGTAAGCCAAATATCAGAAGGCAGTTGATGGCTGTAGTCGAGATGTATTTGTTGGCGATCTCGTAGTATCGAAAGAATACCGAGATCGTGCCAGGTTACAAGTGGGGTTACTGAGAGTAACCGAATTCGCGCAAGGTCACAATCAAAGGAAGAAAGTATGTGTTTCGGTACAGTTAAACAAACAAGTACGATAAAACAATCCCTGGTACAATTGGTCATAATAATAATTGTTTCCATTACACCGATTGCGTTCTCTTGATAAAAGTAGGTCACTACAATATTACAAAGACACATCTACAGCAAAAATACCTAGAGTGGAATTTATCTCGACTACAATAGTTTCGGCTCTCAATAAGTTATAAAAAGGGAATTTTAAGTGCTCTTAAACTTTGCTCGAAAGAAAGCCTGGAACAACTTGTTTTTATTACAAATCGCTTACTTGAAAACACATATCCAGCGAAATTCATAGAGAAATATGCCAAAACCAACCTACGGGTTAAATGTGATACAATGGATAAGAAAACCTGCTTCTTATATTTATGCTTCAAAGGAGATGGAAACACTGGAATAATTAACCACAGGATAAATGAATGACTGACTACGTTATGTGAAACGAAGCGCTCACTCAAACAAACAGACAAAGAAAAACATAATGTCTCTTCCGTTCTCTGAATCAATAGCGATAAAAGAACGTTAACCTGATTTATCACGATTGACTGATCACTGGGTAGTGATCAATGTCATGCGTGTCAAGTCCTTATTTAGTGCAGATCGAATGCTATCGGCCATGTTTCAATGTGTCCACCAGTCTAGGTGACTCGACACTGACCTAATTTATGTATCCAGAAAGAAACAATAATAAAGTTATCAACACCTTGGTATATTGTTTTTGTCATTATCATTATTTTATTAGTTTTTGTTTTTTTATCTGGTCTGCCCTTAACTATTTCTTATTTTATGTACACCAAAACCCTCTCTTAACTTATACGCTTTCATCCATTTAATTTTCTTAACTTATGGAACCTCTCCAAATGCGGTTCACTTATTACGTTATCTATCTTATCCATCTTCGAACCCTATGTAATTCATGCATTACTCGCCCATCTATGAATTCTGTCACTAAATGACCTCTAACCTATCTTGGCATGTATATATATATATATATATATATATTCACTTGGTATTGTTTGGCTTGTATCTTCCCATTGAGGTTTAAGACTGCAATCGATCAGTCTGTTATTGGTATATGTGCATACTGTGCGTATGCCTCGACATCGCCTTAATTCACAAATATTCTGAGCAAAGATGAATGGATAGTGGCTAGCAGTGGAATCCAGTTTGACGCATGTTTCGTCTTATTTGGGACTCGTCAGCTGGATGTACCTGCATTTCAAAGTTAATGTTCAGTCTGGGACTCGACCCCAGTGCCACCCCATTGGACAAGCAAGTGGCTATCAGGACTCAGAAGCTGAATGGATAACGCAATGGCACTTGAAGCGAATGGTACTGGGTTCGAGTCCCAGAGTGAACATCACCTCTGAGATGCAGGTACATCCAGTTGATGAGTTCCGAATAGGACGAAACGCGCGTCCTAGATTTCACTGTTAGTCACTATCCATCATTGCTTGTATATAGTTATTATTGATAAACTTTATCATTCTAATTCTTGTCGTTCATCTATATCAATTCTTTTACATTATATCATACCACAATGTTAACTCTCAATACATATATGGTTTTAATCAGCTGATAAGAAACAACGAATTATAATGAATCCATATAGAATATTCAAAAACAAAGAATATCTAAGCATAAAATTGTTTTTAATAACTTTGTCATCAGGCTCTACAGTTATAAGACCATCATTATGTAATAAGATAACTATTATCAAGGTAATTACGATAAGAAAGAATTCATGTGGATTAAGAAAGATGAATGTAAAGATTAAAGAAGATATAAACAACAACAATAACAAAAAAGAATTGGTAGGTGGATAATAAGTTTCTAATAATCAGTTTATGTATCTAGTGCTTCAGTCATGAACCAAGGTCGTATTCATATTATTCTGTATCGATGTTTGTTCTAATTTTATCGTCAGAGAAGGGGTTTTGTGGAGATTTTAGTAAATTTTAATAGTTGAATTCATGAGTCAGTTGAATCTAGACCACAATGAAGACCTGGAATCACTGGATGGCGGTTTCGTCCTATTGTGGGACTTCTCAGCACTGCACATCCACAATCCCGCCTCTTGAGATTCGAACTCAGGGTTTATTGGTCTCGCGCAGGAGTGCTTAACCATTGAGCCGGTGGGAATCCAACTGTGTTAATGTCTAACTTTATATGCTCACTAGCGAAGGTCTCCGAGAGGTATTTCCTAGAGTTCTAGTGAGAAACCGTGGCCAGTAGAGTTCAACCGGGGCTCTTGTGAGATAGCAACTCACTGATGACAATGGTGGACTGTGGCGCAACTTCGTGAATTAGTTGAAGTTAGACTTAAATCCTTTTTTTAAATAATTTTATCAATGAATTAGTTGTGGGGAATTTGGATGAGCTCTAATACAGTGTTTAGTTAAAAGCCCAGTATGTGAACATTTATTTATCATTACCAGATTTGACTATTGAAAATGGATGCTCTTCAATAGTACGTCTTAGTTGTAATAGTTTGGCGTTTCTATATTGCTACTAATGATCGGATCGAGTAATAGTTGGTGAAACTAGGTATGATATTCTGAAGTAGATAGATAACCTAGACATTATTTCAATTTGTCAACTTTTTTTCCAGTATTGTGCATTTATAATGTTGTGTTTTTTTTTCAGTAAAAGTTTTTAGAACATCAAATGTTTCCCATGATTCTTCTAATATCACTAAAGATAATTCCAGTAAGAAAGGTGTTGTGCATACTGATCATTCAATGGTTGACTTCAAACGACCTGTTATGCTTCCAGTTGTGTCTAGACGATTAGAGAATTTCAAACGACCGACAACAATACAGCAACAAAATCATTTAAATCGAACATCTACCTTGAAACCGATTAATCAAAATGCTGAGTATAGTTTACGACGTCCATCTGTGTTTGAAGGTATTTTAAAATCGGCTGCTGAAGCTGCTCAACACTGGAATCATCATAATAATAATTGTAATAATGATCATACATCAAGTGTTAAATTGTCATCAGAATCTAATGAAGAACAAGTTAATAATGATAATGCTAACGTCAGTAAACCTCTTAACGCTTGTTCTTCTTCTACGACAACAACAGAACCAACAACAACAATAACTGATCCCCATAAACGCTTAGTACAACGTTTAGATTCGATGATTTCATTAAGACGTGAACAGAATGCATTATCCAATCTTTCAAATAGTAATCATTCTAATGAAATTGGATCATCATTTGATTTGTCTACTTCATCAGATAATAATGATTACTTTTCCACTATTAATTATCGAAAAGCAAATACATTGGATCGTCGATTTCCTCCTTCTATGGGGAGTCATGTAAGTGTCTTATTTTTTTCCTATCGTTTCATATAGTTATAAATCCCTTTTTTAGAGAAAAAAAGTGTCATCTATATTGATTGAATTATAGGTAAAATGCAGTCTTCTGGTAGCACTAAGTAACAATACCCGAATGTTTAGAATGCGCTTCTCTCCCTCTAAATGCAAGTTGTTGCTTCAGGACTGGTCTGCGTCAACACCTGAACTAAGGATAGGGAGTGAAGTATTCGAACTCGTTGACAACTTCACTTATCTTGGAAGTCTGATCAACCCTAATGGGTTGGTTTCTGACGAAATCTCAGCACGGATTCGAAAAGCTCGTTTGGCTTTTGCCAACTTACGTCACCTATGGCTAAGCGAGAAATCCGTCTATCAATAAAAGGACGAGTATACTGCGCGGCAGTCCGTTCTGTTTTAATTTACAGCAGCGAAACGTGGCCATTAAGAGTTGAAGGTACTCGTATGCTACTAGTATTTGACCACAGATGCCTTAGAAATATTGCTGGCGTCTGCTGGGATCACCGGGTAAGTAATAGTGAGGTTAGACGCAGGGTATTAGGTAATGATGGTAAATCAGTTGATGAGGTTGTGAATCTTCATCGACTGAGATGGTTGGGCCACGTGTTACGTATGCCTGAACACCGATTACCATGACGTGCAACGCTAACCGGTGTTGGAGATGGTTGGAAGAAAGTTAGGGGCAGTCAAACCAAAACGTGGCATCAGTCCACAAAGTCACTGACTTCTAGTCTTAACAATGTTGGTAGATGCAGACTACTTGGTTTTTGTCCGCGTGACTATCGTAACCAATGGTTGGAGACTCTTGGTGACATGGCTCAGAATCGATCGATCACAATGGAGTCGGTGTATACACTCTGTCTTCCCTTAAACTAAGAGATTAAATTCACTTCATATCTTTCTTTCTAAGAACTAATTCTTTCTCCGTGTATCATATCCTTATATACAATCTTTCTTTTATATATTACCACCTCTGAATTAACGACTTTTATGAATCCGGTGTTCATCGTGTTGTGTTAATGAGGTATGGCAACTTGTACCGATGCATATATGTGCCTGGTCCTATGTTGTAGCTGACTGGCTGACCGAGGTATCGAAAGAAAACATTGTATATGCTCATACTTCAATGCTTAAATTCTCAGATGTAAATCTATCAGTGATAGTAGTCGGTGGGTACCTGGTTTGCTGTTTAGACTTTAAATCTTAATGAATAAACAATCCAACTATCTGAGTAGATAGAACTGAAGAAATAATAAGGCACAATAATCATATGACAACACTATTTTTGACAATAAAACTAAGCAATACATTTTGTAGTTATAATTAACTGTAATTTATGAACGGTAGAAGATTTCAACTAGAGCTAATGAGTTGAAAGAAAGAGAGAGAGCTAACAGTTATTATTATATAAACTGTTTGTTTAATGAATAAAGCGTCTGTTAGTTAGTGTTAGGCAACGTACAATTTTGTTCATATTTGTATCAGTTCAAGTTCCGACACCACATCAACTAAGCGAGATAAAATTACCAGGACAGATATCAAAGTACTAGCGGTAGTAGTAAACAGTATCAATGGTAATAGTGAACAATAGGCATAAACAATTTTTTGTTTTCAAGAAGAAATGAATTTCAAAAATCGATATGTAAGGTAAGACAGAGCAAATGCATCTATCCCATGTTGATCGATTCCAAGCCGTATCAATTAATGTCTTTAACCAATGGTTAAAGTAATTGATCGGTTCGTAATCAACTAGTTGGGATCTATCATCTTCACGAGTCAGAGCAATAGTTTATGTCTTCGTGGATGTCACATTTTTGATTTGGCTGCTCCTAGCTTTTTTTTAAAAAGCCTACTCCTTCATTGTGAAAATACACAAATGGATTCAACGTAAAATAGTTTTCTAGATTTCATATTTGTCTTTTCATCTTTTGTTCTTTAACAGTCACCAGTTGGTTCTAATACAATTGAATGTTAGACAGTGAAAATCTTATGAGATTAAATCATCTTTCTTGAAAATGATATTTCATTGTACACTACAAATTATAATAGTCAGTGACACTTGGTTTATGTATATGTCTCAGAGTAACATATTCTCGTTTAGTTAGTATAGTGAATGGAAATAAGCATCTTATCCCATTTCTGCTGATTTTATTTATTTGAACACATAAATCAGTCGGTCAGCTACAACATAGGACCAGGCACATAGAACACATAAATATTGCTACAAAGAAGCTTACTTACTTACGCCTGTTACTCCTCGTGAAGGAGCATAAGCCACTAACCAGCATTCTCCATCCAACCCTGTCCTGGGCAATCCTTTCCAGCTCCTTCCAGTTGTAATTCATCCTTTTCATATCTGATTCTATTATCAGACGTAATGTGTTCTTTGGTCTTCCTCTTTTCCGCTTCCCTTCAGGATTCCAAGTTAGGGCCTACCACGTGATGCAGTTTGATGATTCGCGTAATGTATGTCTTATCCCTTTCCATCGTCTTTTCCTAATTTCCTCTTCAGCTGGAAGTTGGTTTGTTCTCTTCCACAGAAGGCTGTTGCTGATAGTATCCGGTCAATGGATGTTGATTATCTTGCGTAGACAACTATTTATAAATACTTGTACTTTCTTGATTGTGGTTGTTGTAGTTCTCGAAGTTTGAGCTCCATACAGTAGAACTGCCTTGACGTTCGTATTGAAGATTGTGACTTTGATATTGGTTAACAGTTGTTTTGAGTTCCATGTGTTCTTCAATTGTAGGAATGCGACCTTTGCTTCGCCAATCCTCGCCTTTACGTCTGCATCTGAACCTCCTTGTTCATCGATGATGCTTCCTAGGTATGTGAAGGACTCTACATCTTCCAGAGTTTCGCCGCTTTGAATTTGAGGACCTTGGTTTTCCCTTTGTGTATACTGAGGCCTACTGATGCAGAGGCTGCTGCTACACTGGCTGTCTTCATCTGCATCTGTTCGTGTGTACGCGACAGGAGGGCTATGTCATCTGCGAAGTCCAAATCGTCTAATTGATTCTGAGCTGTCCATTGTATTCCGTGTTTTCCTTCAGATATCGAGGTCTTCAATATCCAGTCGACCACCAGAAGAAAGAGGAAGGGGGAGAGTAAACAGCCTTGTCTGACTCCGGTCCTTACTTGGAATGCATCTGTCAGCTGTCCTCCATTCACGACCTTGCACTGTAGTCCGTCGTATGAGTTCCGGATAATATTGACAATCTTCTCAGGAACTCCGTAGTGTCGAAGAAGCTTCCATAATGTCCTCCTATCTACACTGTCGCAAGCCTTTTCATAATCAATGAAGTTGATGTATAGTGACAAGTTCCACTCAACTGACTGTTCGACGATGATCCTTAGTGCACGACCGATCCTTACGGAATCCAGCTTGTTGATCTCGAAGTTGGGCGTCTACTGCATCCTTCATCCGGTTCAGCAACACTCTGTTAAAGACTTTCCCTGGTATTGACAGTAGTGTAATGCCTCTGTAGTTTCCACATTTGCTCAGATCTCCTTTCTCTGGAATCTTGACGAGGTGTCCTTCTTTCCAGTCCATCGGCACTTGTTCCTCCTCTCAAATCTTTTTGAATAGAAGATAAAGCATGCTTGTGGTTACTTTGATGTCTGACTTCACTGCTTCAGCTGGTATGTTGTCGAGTCCCGCTGCTTTCCCGGTCTTGATTTGTCTGACGGCCATTCTGATTTCTTCCGTCGTTGGTGGGTTGACATCTATAGGAAGATCTATGTGTGCTGCTTCGATGTTCGGTGGATTCATTGGAGCCGGTCTACTCAGGAGCTCTTCGAAGTATTCTACCCATCTGTTATGCTGTTGTTGAATTTCGGTGATTGGCTTGCCTTCTTTGTCTTTGACCGTCTTCTCTGGTTTACTGTATTTCCCTGATAGTTTCTTCGTTGTATCGTAAAGCTGTTTCATATTTCCTTCTCTAGCAGCTTTTTCTGCCGTCGTTGTTAGTTCTTCCACGTATTTCTTCTTGTCGGCTCTAATGCTCCTCTTCACTTGTTTGTTTGCTTCTGTGTATTCAGCTTGTGCTTGGACTTTCTCTGCTCGTGTTCGGCTGTTGTTTATTACTGCCTTCTTGTTCTTCCTTTCTTTGATCTTGTCCAGTGTTTCTGTAGAGTTCCATTCCTTATGATTGTGTTTTTTAGGCCCAGAACCTCTTGACACGTTGAAGTTAATGCTTCCTTGATGCCTTTCCAGTTGTCCTCCATAGTAGTTTCTTCTTCTTTCAGTAGATCTTGTAAGGCTTGGAATCTGTTGCTGAGAGCTATCTTGAATTCACTGAGTTTGTCAGTATCTCGAAGGAAGACTGTATTGAACCTTTGTATTGCTGTTTGTCCACTTGTCCAGTTCTTTTTTAGCTTCAGTTTTAAATTGGCTACAACTAGGTAGTGATCTGAAGCTACGTCAGCACCTCTCCTGGTTCTCACATCTTCCATTGTCCTTCGGAATTTTTTGTTGATGCAAATATGATCTATTTGGTTCTCTGTAGTGTGGTCCGGTTAGATCCATGTAGCCTTGTGTATACGCTTGTGTGGAAATATTGTGCCTCCTATGACCAATTTATTGAATGCACATAGATTTGCAAATCTTTCTCCATTTTCGTTTCTTTCAGTCCATGTCGTCCCATGATATCTTCATATCCGGTGTTGTCTATTCCGACTTTGGCATTTAGATCTCCCATCAGAATGGTGAATTCCTTTCTTGGGCACTTCTCTATGATTGACTGCAGCCGCTCGTATAATTGATCTTTAATGTCATCGTTGCTATCATTGGTGGGTGCATAACATTGGATAATATTCATTGTGATCCCCTCCTTCTTTGTTTTGAATGATCCTTTGATGATTCTGGATCCGTGAGATTCCCATCCTACAAGTGCATTTCGTGCTACTTTGGACAGCATAAGAGCGACTCCCTGAGTGTGTGGAGCATTGTCTTCTTCGTGACCGGAATATAGCAGCATCT